CCAGGAACACATGATTTAATTTAAAGAGCATAAATGCTGTCAGACATGGCTGCTTTCTTCCACCAGCTCACGCCCTCTCTGATCTAACCTGCAGCTCTCTGCAACAAGTTCACACATTTTCTGTCTGGTGTCAGGAAGCATGGAGCTGCAGGAGCCGCGACGAGGCTGGCACCACGATAACCAAAACACAACATTCTGTGTGGATCTGAAGGTGTTTAAAGTGGAAGGAGGAGCCGACAGATCGGCTCTCATCTTCATCGCGTCTGATTGTTCCTCTCTCGTTCGCCCGTCATTAAACTCTGCCAGTCAGTCTGACCCAGATGTCAAATGTGCAGAGCAATGCAAGTGTGTGTGTGTGTGTGTGTGTGTTGGCGTGAGAGGCAGAACGAGCTCAGGTTCTGGTTAACCAAACACCTCTTTCCACAAACCTTCAGTGAACTCACCTGCAGTAATCTGCTGTTTGGAGTATGATTTGCTGAAGAAGCTGCAGATGCTGCCGAGGTAAACATTACAGGCTCACGTCACCACACTAAGCTGTTTCATGACGATACATGATGGAGTTGTAGCCACTCTGGGCCTTGAATATTAATATTTTCTTGTTGAATTCATGTTTTATGTTTAACTGGTGATGTCACGTGTAGCGGAGCGTCCAGGTTTGGCAGCTGTGGAATGTTTGAGTTGCTAGATGACACAACAAGCAAACCTTAGGCCCTGTCCACACGTAGCCGGGGATCTGCCAAAACGTAGATATTTTTCTACGTTTTGGCCTGTCATCCACACGAAAACGGATCTTTTTAAAAACTCTGGCCAAAGTGAAGATCTGCATTTTCTCCGTTTTGGGTGTCTGCGTGTGGACGGACAAAACCGGAGTTTTATGGTCCGCAACGTCACTTTCCGCGACAAAAAATGCTGACATCACGTGTGCGACCTGTGTTTACACTAGCCGACAGCATGGATGCCCTCAGAGCTGCGCTCGCTTTATCAATTGTCCAAGCGCTTTTTGCTCGTTTGTTTTTGCAAGAGGAATTACTGATCCTTGCGGAAGACCACAGACGAAGGACGAGGTTAAGAACGGGGGAAGTACTGCCGCCTACAGGTCTGGCATGTCCATAACAACGTATTTATCCGGGTACGTGTGGACAGAGTTTTTTTTTAAACGAGGTGGTGTGGATGCAAGTTTTTGGAGGGACGGATATTAAAAAAAAACCCGGCTACGTGTGGACTAGGCGTGGACTACGTGTGGACGTGAGGAACACTAAGTTCCTCAATGCTCCAAGGAAAGAATCCCCACGCTTCATTATTTCCCCTCGTCTCCAGTAGGATCAGAAATCAGTTGTAGATAGAAATGGGAAAGCTGCCTTTAATCCTGTAGATTATCTTGAAGTTATCAGCTTGAAGAAAGGAAGTTTGACTGAAAAGGTGAGTCGGTTTGGATCTTCCCCTGGAACAGTGTTTAACGAACGAGTGCAGTGGCCCAGGTGACCTTGAACGTAAGTTTAAAGAGCAAGTCACCACCCCATCAACCTTTTTTTGCCGATAAACTGTATGACTCCAAAAACTGTCAGTGTTGTGCCATCGTCAGGTAAAACTCTACACTGAATTAGAATTTAATCATCGGACACCCCTATTGGCTAAGAGGTACACTGTGTCATTAGCTGGTAAATTATGACGTCACAATGCTGTTGTGAGCCTGTTTGTGAGTGACTCCGCCCTCTCGGTTTGCCGGGCAACAGCATTTGGTGAATTTTTCAAATACGAAGTGGAGGTGGAGTAAGTGTCTTGTAGGGGGTGACTTGCACTTTAAGTTGGGGCAGCAATAGCTAAGGAGGTAGGGTGAGTTGTCCCGCAGTTGGAAGGTTGTCGGTTGAATCCCGGCTCCTTTCTGGGAATTCTATTGTTATGTCCTTGACCTTTGACCTAAAGCTTCCGCTCTTATAGTCTGCAGCTTCTGTCACTGTGTTGCACTTTTTTCTTGATGCGTCGAGGGTTTTTGCATTCAGCTGAACCTCCCAGGCCACCGTAAACAGCAAAAGTCTTTTGCTGTTAATAAAAAAATAAAACATAATTTTCAGTTCCTTTAAAATTCATTTTCCTTCCCAGACACCCGACAGATTTAATTTTTGTTTCCTGAACTGAAGCTGTTAAAAACATCCACCGCAGCAGAGACGAAATGATGCAAAGGGGACGTTTGAGACCAGGTTGCTAGGCAACAGAATCAGGCAGCAGCTTTTCCGGACGACTCAATAGAAAGTGTCAAGGAAAAAAAAGCCATCAGCTACAAAGAGACGCTGCGGTTTGTCTGAATGAGATTCAACGCTTTTATGAAAATCAAGCTTGTTGATGTTAAACAGAAATCTGCTGCAGGCTCCACTAACCGTCTTCGCTGGAGCCCAATCCGATTTTCGTAGCCTCCATGAATGGCTGATGGCTTTATCGTGTCAAATAAATAAACATTATTTATCCAGTAAAGCAGCTGGGTCCTTCTGCCCCATTAAAACAAGATTGTTGTTCCTTTTGCTGATTGAAAAGTTTCCCAACTGTGGATCATTTCTGTGTAAAAACAAAAACTGAATGTTTGGCTCATGCAGAGATCTAGTCTTACCTGCTTTAATGCAACATTTAAAGAATGTCTAAAGTGCTTTGGGCATAAAATGGTTTAGAATAAACAAATTAGCAAGAATCTTACCAGAAAACTGCTGGAGAGAAAGCTCCACCATTCAATCACAGGCTGCACTAAACTACCCTGAGGGCCTTAAATGGCCCCGGGGCCACACTTTGGACGTATTTGGTTCAGAGTTTTGTGCCGAGGTACTTCTTTGAACTGACACTTTTGACCACATGATTGAACTTTTACCTGCATTCCTTAAAGTAAACCAGTGAAGCTGCAGATCGCCAAACGACCACCATCAGCTGTGCTTTCCTGTTGCCACGGATACAGAAAGTGCTGCATCATGCATCCATCTCAGGGGAAAACCATAAATCCTAATGGTGCAGTTCTGCTGAGGGAAGTTCTCACCATTTGAAGGCTTCTGGTGCAAAATAATCCATCTAAAAACAGCTTAAAGAGCAAGTCACCCCAAATCAACATTTTTTTTTTTGCTGATAAATTATATAAATGAGTGTCCGATCGTACTGTAGACACATGCAGTCAAGTATTTGGCACTTTAGTGCATCTTAGTTGAAATTTAAATATTCTATGTTGTGCCCTCCTCAGGTACAAACCCTGCACTGCATTCGAGTTTAAATCTGCCATTGCTAATGGCTAACAAGTACCATATGATGTCACAATTGTCATGAGTCGGGGTGAGTACTCCTCTCAAACATTCCAGCTTTGAGGAGAGGAAGGCTTCCAGCTGTGGCAGATCAGCGGTACCAGCCACTTAAGGAGTGGGAGAACACACCTCGACGCGGGATGATTACTACAACGAGGCAGTTTTCCAGCCTTCCAGTGATCTAGTGTTTTTGTGACTCTTGTGACTTTTGGGATTTATTGATTTTTGTAATTTTGTGTTGCTCTCGACTGCCTCAGGATTTTGGATCTTCACTGGTGCAGAAACATCTCTGGATTCTGCTGCTCACCTGGATACTCATCTTCGACATAAACCTTCCGGACTCAGCGCTCTGGTGTTCTCCTCCATCCGCTCCGCTCACCTGCTCTCCACACGCTCCCTCTCCTGGACCTACTCACCTGGACACACCCCGACTCTAGATCTGCCCTTCCCTACACCTCCACCTACCAAATTCCCTGTAAGTCTTTTCTCTGCACCTTACCAGTTAAGACTTACCCCAAAATTCCACTACCTTCGCTCCGCTCCGGCACGAACTCCGCAGCAAAAACGGTCCCGTTGTAGTCAATCAGAGCTGTTCCACCACTGTGGCCGCCGTTCCGCCATCCGGCAAAAATAGGATCGATTCTATTTTTGCCGGATGGCGGAGCACCTCTGCAGTAAATGGACAGAAATCACAACGGCCCAACAGGAAAGGGAGCAAGCACAACTTCCGTTTTTCACAATAAATCGATAAACAAAAAGCGTTTTTTGTTTCATTTGCACAGGTTTAACAACTTTTAACAACTATCAATGGCGGCTGAAGTTTAAATGCACAAAAGTAAGCCATAAATACAGTTTCCACTATCAAAGTAGTCACACTTTGTTGATCCAAACACTGCTGATCTCTCAACACAAATGATGGGCAGATTAAACAGTTCACACCGATGCTTCTCCCACACAACGGGTGTTTGGATCTAACTTCTGCGTTTATTGCTCGGACTGTATCGCAAGATCTCGAAAATCCCACGCATGCTTGTTTGCCCCCCTCAGGTCTCCGCACCGGAGCGGAGCCGTTGTAGAGCGGGTACCAGTAAAAATTGAGTTCGGAAGCGAGCGGCTGCGGAAGGCGGGGGCGGACCGCAGCGGAGGTAGTGGAATTTTGAGGTTACCTCTCAGGACTCACTTTTATCTGCTCTCCCCCCTCCTCAGACGCTGCGCTCCGTTCTCCCAACCACCGCTGGAATTTCCAGTGCGCCTTATGTTCTCGTTGTATAAATAAACTTTCATCTTTTTGTTTAAAACCCGTGAGTTGTGTTATTCTGCATGTCCTGGGTTAAGCGCCTTCCCCAGACAGTGACAACAATGTCACTGTGAGCCTGTATTTGTGTGTGTTGGTTAGTGGCTCCGCCCTCTCGGTACGCCAGGCAACAGCATTTGTTGCATTTTTGAAACGGGAAGTGGGAGTACAGTAATACTCTGGTAGGGGGTGACTTGCTCTTTAAATGCTCTAAATGCCGCACTAAACTATTTTTATAAAGTTTTTCTAATACATTTCAAAACCTGTAATGAACATTTAGCTCAATGTACTCAAAACTCTTAATTTATGTTTGATTATTTGAGGAAATCATTTTGCTCTCATCTGTAAGTTTACATGAATTCCCTGTTCTGTGTGTGAATCTGGAAACGACATTACGAAATGCAAAAACAACTCTTCCAAAGGAAAAAACTAGATAAAAATCGATAGAAATTTATTTTCTTACCAAACATTTCTGCACAACAATTGCATAGATGGACACAAAATAGCTTTTTAAGGACTGTAAGAAAGAAAATGAAAACGCATGCTGCTGTGTTCAAAACTCACATTATTGTTTGATTCACTGGAAAACGATTTTATGCTGAAATCCAAATTACTCTGTAAAAAATATGAAGAGTGATAAATATTGCAAATATATTACTTCTTGGTTTGTTAAATACTTTCAGAATATATTTTAAAGAACCAATAAGACAGAAATAAAACTCCTTAGTTGATGTGAACCATGATGGGAAATAAACAAATGTTTAAAGTTAAAATATGTTTTTTATGCAAGAGAAAAGCACAAAGATCCGGTCCGGTGTTGGATTTGCTGAAGTTGGCAGCAGGGAGTCGCGGAAGTCCGCCGAAGATCCGCAAACGCGTCTCATTCAGATGTGCTTTTCAGATTTAACAGATCCAAAGACTTCATGAAGTTTGGAGATCCGTTTTTTCCTGGTTGTTCACACCGGCGTTCCTCCTGATCTCAGTTGGCGAACTGTTTGTAAAAGGCCACTTTAACTCGCTCGATCTGGTGGCACAGCTTGATGGCGGGCCCGAGCTTCAGGTCCATGCACTCCTGGACTGTAGGCAGAGTCAGCAGCAGCAGGGCCTGGCCGTCGATGTCCTGCACAGAATACCCAAACACCGCCTCATGAGCCGATTCTGTCTGCAGCACTGATGGACTCAGCCCAGGTCCTAGTGGACAATATTAGGGATGAGCGAGTACACCACTATCTGTATCTGTTCAACCAACTAAAGTATCTGTATCTGTACTCGGAATGGGCGTGGCATAACCCGCAAGTGGGCGTGGTTTAACCAGAGGTGGGTGTGGTTTACATCAATATATTATTTTAAGTCTGAAATTGATATGGATTGATCAGAAGTTGATATGTGTATTGTTTATTTGAAAACTATTCACAGAGCAGCCTCAGAATTGAGATTAAACATTTTTGATCACAAAAGTAAAGAAACTATTACAGAACAAGTTTTTCAGTAAAATCAGAACATTATTATTTAAGTGCATGGCTCAATACATCTGAACTCATGCAGTAGGAACTAGGAAATATGAAATGCTAGAACCAGACACAACTTTATATATATTTTTTTATTTTAATTTGATTAAACAGATTTTTTCTTAACGTTCTTGGCATTTTCCCAAACAAAGTTAAACAAAACTGTTGATTAAGGTGTGTGTGTCTGAGAGAGCTAGAGAGGGAGAGAGGGAGATAAAAAAAACTCAACCGGAGCGGAGGTGGTGACTGATGCAGCACGTCAGCTCTGTCTTGTCAAATGCACCACGTACGTTACGAAAAAAGTAACTTTAAATATTCAACTGAAAAAGAGGCGAGCTGAAGAAAACCTAGGGAAAACTGAAGAAACGTGAGCAACAGTGAAGCAAGCACAGCGAGATCCGTTACTGTCTGTGTGTGTGTGCGTGCGTGGATGAGCCGGACGGACTGCGCTCCTGGCCGGCTGCAGAGTTTTGTGTGTAGGGAGGGGCGGGCGCTCTATGTGACTGGCCAATCACAGAGCGTGAAGACAGTCAGTTACCCAATGAGGATTTTCCTTCAGCACGATTACAGATATTTACGAGTTTTACTCGTTTCATGCTCGTATTCGTCAAAAATGCTTTATCCGTACCGAGTATCCGGCTCATCCCTAGAAAATATGCGTTCCCTCTTTTTATTTTCTTTTTAAAGCTATTTTCCCCAAAAAACTTCAGAAAAAGTACCTTTGAATGAGAAAAATAATGTTTTTAAAATGTTGATCTTTTAGGGACAGCCGCAGCTCGGGAGGTAGAGCCTCTCCTCCAATCATTTTTAATGAGGGGCGACAAAGCGATAATCGCGGGTCTCTCTCCTACTAAGAGAAACGCGAAAAACGTGCGTGTGAAATTTTGCGCTCGTGCACGTGTCGTGCACAGGCGACCCAGCGACGCAATCCCAGAAAGTTGAAATATCTTCAACTTTTCATCGCTGTCGCTCGGACGAGGACCAATCAACGGAGGTTTCATTGACTGACCAATGAGCAGACAGGATGCTCCGTGCATCTCCGAGCAAACATGGAGGAGAAGTTGATGCTGTGACGGATTTCCCAGAACCGTACAATATCTCTACCAAAGAATATAGAGGTATTCACGAAGAGGCCGCGGCGTGGGAAATTGTTGGTGCCAGAATGAACACATCAGGTAAGAGTACTTTACAAAACGTTTTTGTAAGTTTACCTAGTGCAATAGCAAACCTAACGAAAAACGTTTATGTGTTTAACTTGGCGATTCGGTTTCGCCATGGAACAGAACGCGTCGACGGCTTTGCTGCTGCTGCGGGTCGCCTCCCGTGTGTCGGGTAATAAAAGCGACAGCGACGAATTTCTCTGATCGCGGTCGTTTGTCGCCTCCCGTGTATCGAGCCCATGAGAAGCGCTATACAGTACAAATACCACTAAATGGTAAAGAGTGTATTTGATATAGCGCCTTCTAGAGTCCTGGAACCCCCCAAGGCGCTTTACAACACAATCAGTCATTCACCCATATCAAACAAAGTAGAGCAGCTATCTGAAGAAATGTGGGCTTGCCTCTGTTCCTTCTTTTGTTTTCTGCACAAAATAATTGAATAATGGAAAATGTCACTTTTCATGTCTGTTGACCATCAATCAATCTAACTTTATTTATAAACACTGCAACTCCAAGTGCTTTACGGGTTAAAATGACCCTACATAACCCTCATTGCTGACGAATTGTAGCCAGAAGTTTCATCTGCATGATTAAAATAAAGTTATTAGACCCGTAAAACCAGATTTACTTTACGGGAAACCGATTTGTTGGTCACAACAAAAAATAAACATTTTATTTCTAGTGAGTTTTGTCTCAATCCTCAATCATTAAACGTTTTACTTTTGTTGGAAAGTTCATTAAAGAAGGAAATGTTAAAAAACAGCTGCTTTAACGCGTCGTTCAAGTATGCCACCTGTGTGTGTGTGTGTGTGTGTGTGCACCTGCTCCCTGAAGACGGTGGCCAGCGATGCACAGTCAGTGGAGGTAATAAACTGGACGACTTCGTCCACGCTCCACCCCAGAGGGTTTCTGTCCAAAACCAGCTGACTTTCATCCTCCTCAGCCTGAACAAACACATTTATTAAAAGCTGTTGGTTGTAAATGATTAATATTAGTTATAATAAACCATTTTAGATTAATTCCTTACAGAATAAATCAAAATGAAGCTAAATTTAAAAAAAACTCATGTTTCTCAGGTTGTGAATTTGTTTAAATCACAAAATTAACTTTACAGGATCAAATCAAAACAAAATCTATCATTTATTATTGATTGTTGGAATTTTTAATAGAAACTGGGCATTCTCTTTACCTTCACATCTTCTTCTTTAGGCGTTTGGTTCTTGTTGTTCTGGTGGGAAGCCGACAGCGAGCGGGTGGACCGCCTGCGGCCCTCCGAGGCCTCCTGGCTGCCCGTGGAGTTCCCCACACTGAAGGCTCTGCGGAGCGCCGCGGCTCGGCGAGGCCGGCTGCTGCTGCTGCTGCTGGTCACCTCCACCGACGAGGCGTCCGTGTGGTCGTCGCAGGGCTCCGAGCTGGTGCCCTCGCTGCCCGACTGTAGCGCCAGCTCTTCACCGTCCGCTCCCTCGTCGCTGTCCTGCAGGAAGCAGCTCGATCCATCAGCGGCACATTTATTACCATTAAATATTTAATACATTCGAGGGAAACATTTACAAAATGCTTGATTATTTAATTCGCCATCTGCAGGGAAATAAATCAAAAATAATTAGAGTATTTCATCGTTTTCAGCCCTTCTGCTGCTGTTTTTAATAATAGTTTATGTACTCGGGACTTCTGATGGAACGAAAGGCTGAAACTGAAGGTTATTGCTTTAAAAACAAAACATTAAAGACAAATTCTGCCTAATTATCTTTTTCCATAGAGAAGCAATAGTAGGGATGCACCGATCTGCATTTGACCGTAATCGGCCGATAGCGCCCCTATCGGTTTTGATCGGAGTTTTCAAAATAGATCAAAGCAGACCGATCAGGTAGGGTTGTCACGGTAACCAGTGTAGCGGTAAACCCCGGTAAAAAAACCGCGATAATACCGAAAACCGTGGTAATTTTGGTCACAATAACGTGAGGTTAAATTTTCACACCGTGACAACCCTAATACAGACCATTTTAGATTAGGTTGCATTTCCTTTATTCCCAGATTATGTAGTTTGTAGCACTCATTATAATGTTGTAGAAAATTTCTGGCCAATCCGCGTGATCGTATCGGTGATCGGTATCGGTGATCAGCATTCTTTGATATCGGTATCGGTGATCAGCATTCTTTGATATCGGTATCGGTGATCAGCATTCTTTGATATCGGTATCGAAGATCAGCATTCTTTGATATCGGTATCGGTGATCAGCATTCTTTGATATCGGTATCGGTGATCAGCATTCTTTGATATCGGTATCGGTGATCGGCAGCAAAAAACCTGATCGGTGCATCCCTACAAAATAGTGGTGAACATTTCAGCCTGCGGATGAATATATTTTGTATTTTCTTCTTTGAATAAACTCAGTTTAGAATAATCATTCAGAAAGAGGTAAACAATGAATGTTTTAATTCTTTAATAATTACAAAAATTAAAAGTAAACAAATATAAAACATATCCAAAACCGTCCTTTTTGGGGACGGAGTCTGATTGATTGCATGTGATAAAACTTCAGAATAAACGTGTTTAATGCAGAAACAACCCCCCCCCCCGATAAACCTTTGCAGGACAACTGGAGGAAAGCAACACAAACACACTGTGTGTAGTAAACACACAGTCAGCAAGATGTGCAGCTATTTTTACTTAAATCCATCTGCTCCGGCGCTTTTATCTGCATGTTCTGCATAAAAGCCAAGCTGTCGACTCCAAGCTTCCTCAGAAGCCTTTTCTATTTCTGAGCTTGAGTGTGTTACACTCACACACCCGGCCGTGGCCCACGGAGAGCCTGTTACAGGAGCAGCAGGACACCTGATACTGGAGATGTGTCATCTAACCTGCGGAGAGCCTGCAGGCGTGTAGTCAACAGCTGACGAGCGCCTTTTCTTCTGCACAAAGATGGCCTTCCTCTTCTTCCTGCGGCGCGTGGGCTTGGCCGGCTCACCCTCCGCTGTCTCCTCCCCGCCCGGCGGTTTGGACAGCTTCCTTTTCTTCCCGTAGTAATGGGCTGGATGTGAAAGGAAAGCACCCAAAACCAGAGTCAGCCACTGATCAGCGGCGATAACACGCAGCGAGGGATGGGTACCTTTGACATTTGAATCAATTCGGTACTAATTCCCGGTACCTAGGAATCGATACCGGTACTTAACGGTACCAATTTTCGATACTTTTGAGTGTTTATTATTTTAATTCTCTTTTATTATTAAATATATAATTTTCTCAATATATAACCATATTTGATAAATATCACGATAAATAACATACAACTGTTTGTATTTTAACATCGTCCTTGTAGTTTTATAAGCTGATAATTAAACTGAAGCAAACATCTTTACTGTGAACTAAATTTACTGTGTATCTTCATTCCTTTTGCCGTCTTTTTTCATTTGATTTTTCCTACTGGGAAGCTAGAATTTCCGAGGAGAAAGCGAACGTACCATTAGCTGATAACAATGGTAGCAATGGAAGCTAACATATCAAGCTAACGTTATCTTAAACAGTTAATTTAGCTGCTGGAGCAGATTAAAACGATGACACCTCACACTTGGATCATTGTCGCTGGTTTCATCTTCACCCAATCACCCGTCACATTTAGTAAAGCGAAGCCAAACTTTAGAGCGCGTTCATGTTCTTCTAGTCAGAAATTCGGAGTTCCGAGGAGAAAGCGAACGCACCATTAGCGAAACGGAAGCTAACATATCAAGCTAACGTTATCTTCAACATTTTATTTACCTACCGGAGCAGATTAAGATGAGGATGTCTCACTTAGATCGTTGTCGCTGGTTTCATCATCACCCAGTTACCCATCACATTTAGTGAAGTGGACCCAAGCTTTAGCGTGCGTTCTTTCTACCATGCTGCTCTGTTTACAACTGGCTCGCAGCGACCGACGACATAACGCTCTTGCGCATGCGCAGCTGTCTAGGAACGTTCTCGTTATGAACAGGGCGAGATTAACACTTTGTTGTACCCTGGGCAACAATATTAAGGGGCCCCATCATCACGACCCAAGGATCACCATAATATGGTCACATACAGAATATTTTACTGTAATATGCAGTAAATATACGCAATACTTGAATGCCTGACATCACGTAACCCGCTCAGGGTAACCTTTGACCCACCTCGTGTGGACTGACCAATGAGGAGAGGGTCTTAACTTGAGGCCCTCTCTTCATTGGTCAGTCTGCATGAGACTGACTCTCAACTGACGTTCAGTCATAGGCAGCGAAGCGTCTCTGTGCAGCGCAAAAGCCCGGGTGGACAGTTTATTTAATACAGGGTGACCATATTTCCATTTCCAAACAAGAGGACAGGGGATCTGTGCCTATGACGTCACACTATGGCAACGCCACACAAACCATGTTGGGACCCATTTTTTGTAAGAACTAAATTTATATCAGATTCTGCCAATAAAAGGGCTCTAAAACAATTCATATGTAAATATTTAGCATATTTATTGCAAAATCTCATTTTTCTGCTTTAGTGCTGCAACAAGGTTTTATTAATAATAAATTATTATACCTTTTGTTTTACTACAGCATCGGTACGCTTCCTGTGCACAGATTATTAAGGATGCTTGTTTCAGCTGTGAGATTAGACGATAGGATCAATGAAAAAATAAGTTGTCACACACTCCATGGAAACTTTAAGATAATCCACAAATAGTGGCTTTCAAATAGTTTTGTTACTTTTTTCAAGTTTATTAAATAAACAGATGAGACAGCATGTCTGATAATTTAGCTTTTCATCTGATAATATTAGAACATGTCAGTAATGTGTGAGGAGCTTTTATAAACACTGTATAACTAACACTACTGGAGAATTACACAGAGGCTTCTGGGGAGCCCAGTTATGGGGGGTGGGGGTGGTCATTTTGCTTTGGACCCCAAAATGTCTTGAAACAGCCCTGGGTGTGTGACTGAGTTATGAATGTGACCTGAATTGTATCAGATGTATAAATATTACATGTGTATAACTTATTGTTTTTTACTGGTAAAAACGTGTAGTGGAGATAAATCTACCTACATTTTACTTTTCAACACTTTTTGTTTTCTTGTTTTTATTGAACTATTTTCCTGTCCTGTCTGTCTCTCATCTTCCTGCATCTCCTCTAAACTCTCCAGAAAAACTGCTGTCTGGATTCTTACTTTTTCACCTCATCAGTTACTTCTGAGCAGATCAAAGGGATCTCCTGACCGCAAAGCGGAGAGCGCGTTTCGATGCTGCATCAGTGAGGTGAAATCACCGCAGCACAGGTGATGAGCTCCGCAGTAGCGCGCTTCAGGCGCAAATAAGACAGAAAGTAGAGAACATGTGCGGACATGAACGATCGTGTGCTAATTATATTTTTTTGGTTGCGCCACTTTAAGAATGGACCGTGCGCTGGAAGCAGCAGCCTGGATCGCTGCGCAACAACGCAGCGCTGTGCCGCTCTCTGCTCAAAAGAGTCCATAAATGATGTAATATCGGTAGAAAACTTTTTTCCGGCTCCCCTGGATGTGTAGGATATCCAACTCCCCCATAATTCGATCCCTGCTCCTGGATGAAAAGCCGGACATTTTCATCAATACAAGAACCTCCAGTCCGGACGCCCCGGACAGAGAGTGAAAAATGGACACGTCCGGGGAAAACCGGACGTACGGTCACCCTAGTTTAATATAAAGCGGGAGATTGCAGATAGGCCTACAATATTTTGCTCGTGCCCTTGCTGCCCTGGGCCCTTTAGAGTTCGTGGGCCCTGGGCAATTGCCCAGTTGCCCATATGGTTAATCCGGCCTTGGTTATGAAGGACGGGTACCAAAACGAAGCACCGTTTGAAAAGACGTGAATCGGTGCTCTGTCGGTACTGTGGAATTCGGTCGGTACCTTAAAAAGTACCGAATTTGGTACCCATCCCTAGACACAGCCTTCCTCGTAGCTGTGAAGCAGGGAGGAGGGTTACTCACTGTATTTGGTTTTGGTTTGGACGGAGCAGTTCTCCGGGCACTTGTCGGTGACAAGGAGGGGGCTGAAGAGGTTCGGGCAGCACTGCAGCTTCACACACACCTTCCTGCAGAAGTCTGGGATCTGCTCCGCCAGGCGAACGATTCTGATGGTGGAGCGATACGTTTTCCCTTTATATCTGCGGGAAGGAGAGGAAGAAAAAAGGTTTTGTGTTGCTGAAGCTTCAAAAATGTCAAAAATGACCATTTCCTCCAACGTCACTCCTGTTCTTGAATCTCTACACTGGTTACCAGTAGAGGCCGACCGATATGGTCTCTTTAAGGCCAGTACAGATTTTTAAAGAATATTGTTGCCGATGGCCGATATCTAGAGCTGATTCTTAAGACCAATTATATATATATATATATATATATATATATATATATATATATATATATATATATATATATATATATATATATATATATATATATCAGGAGAGGAGTAAATAGCCTCTCTGGGAGGCAGACGCCTCACATAATTAAAATAACTCCTGCAGGCCGCTGGGAAAACATCCCTGCATGAATGTGATCAGTGTGTTCTGCAGGTCACCGCAGGTGCCTCACCTCTGACTGGCTGCTTCTTTTTTAGTCAGATGAAAAGTGAAGAAGGTCACTTTTTCATTAGAAAGCATGCAGCTCTCAGCTGTGCAGCAATTTAAATTTGAGCTGCCAGCAGTGGCGGAAAAAGCAGACAACCAACCGCAGCTGCATCAAAAATAAGTCAGAAAAACTGCTGTGAGATGGAACGGTGAGGGAGAGGTGTGCTGCTGGTGATTTATTCAGACTGAGTTTCAGATAATAAGCTTAGAAACGACCAGAAATGGTGAAAAGGGGAGAAGATGTGCACATTGTCTTACTTTGCTTTGAGGGTCTCCTCTTGGCTGTCCCAGCTCTGATCCTCCAGCTCCTGCAGCTCCTTCAGGACTCGACCGGGCTTGTAGGCGGCATTGATCAGCATGCTGAGCAGCTAGAGGCAGAAGCAGAACAGAAACAAGGAAAATAGATGTTTAGAGTCAGGAAAATGGAGGTTTGTGCTCAAAGATGAAGGAGAGACAGGTCTGAGAACTGTGGACAAAGTTGCAGCAGAAAGTGTGTGTGTGTGTGTGTGTGTGTGTGTGTGTGTGTGTGTGTGTGTGTGAACAGGTTTGACTGACAGCTCCTCACATTAGAATGAAGAGCGCTACTGAGAAACTGCAGGTGGTTAACAAGACCTCTTTGTCTCACCCGCCGTCTTTCACCTCCTCCCTCTTTTCGTCAACCCTCCTCTCCTTTTAAAAGTGTGTAACATTTTGATTATCATCCCCCCCCCCACCCCCCCAGTCTGACATCAGCCCACCTCTTTGAGGACCAGCGAGCACTTGCCGGGTCCAACAGCCTGTGGCAGCTCGGCAATGCGTCCCTTGTTGAGGTACGGGCCTGAGAAACAACGATGGTTGACAAAAATCTTGGAGCAACAGTATCTTCCGTTAGCTGAACCTGGAATAGAGGGAAAACAGGAAACATCAATATTAACCAGCTAATATAAAACCATTGGCCACATCCTTTCAAAATACACAAAAAAAATAAATATGGAAGTGAGTTCAGCATTTTATCAACTCATTTTGTCGCTTAAATGTGTTCTGGACATAAAAATGTACGGAAGTACAACTGTGTCACCAGATTATGCATTTAGTTTAATATGTTTTGTAGCATCATGAATGTCCTGTTTTTGACCTAAAGGTCATGATCTGCTGCGTCTGCTCGAGCAGAGACATCAAGTCTCTGATGGGCTAATCTACATGAGATAGTGGCCAAGGTCTTTCATGCACTCTGCTCATCTGAACTGCTTCACCTCTGTTACAGCTCAAGACGAAGACGAAGAACTATTTTGATAAATACATAATCAACAACTTTGTTATTACCAATAATAATGTGAGCCCAGTGTTCAATCAATCTGTGAAATGACAATGTTATTACTTGATATTATAATCCTGTGATCAGTAGTATTTTACAAGTTATTATAGTCCTGGACATTTGCACTAGACACTAATGATACGTAATGCTAAAGTCATACGACACGTTTCCTTTTGTCTGATCCAATCAGAACCTTCGTTTCTGGCTGGGCGGGGTTATCTGAGGTGTTTGTATAAACCCTCTTCTGCACGTCGAATTCTGATTCGCCAGTAAACCAAAATATGACAATTATAAAAACTCTCCCACGCCACCTTTTCTTTAGTTCAAGCGTTCTAGAGAAGTCTCGGACCGGCCGTCCGGACTTCCTCTTCAGCCATAAAGAACCTCGACAAGCCGGATAAAATCTGTTGCAAGTTACACCTGACCACAACGGCTCCTTCAGAATAAAAGCTGAACCTCACGACCCCTTCAGGGTCTCGGAGACGCCACCACTCACAGAGGTGAGTGAGTAGAGCTTCACACACAGATCTGGCGGGAAGAGTCTTGTGGTGCGGCTAAAGTGTTGCTGGTGTGATTTTTGTGTTGGTGCTGCTTGAGGACACGATGCAGCTGCTCTAGATGAATCTAAAGTTTCATCAGACCTGAGAACTGATGTTTTAATCAACCGTATTTCTGCTTTAGGAAAAGTAATTAATCATTCAAAGCCGGAGCAAACGTAGGAGGATTTTGGTAAACAATCTTGTGTTCATCCAAAAGTGAACGCGTTATTTTGTTATTTATAGCTAAAGAGGCCCTGCTCTCCTCATGCGTCTGTGTGACGTGCACCAAACAGGTACAGTTAAAGTCAAACTGGGCCATGAGTGCATCTAAGTCATGTGACCACCCCCCCGGTTAGAAGGTTGACCTTCCGCCCTGCCACCGGCGCCTGGAACTTAAATGATGTCGTGAATATGCATGAACAAGTGGGCGTTTGGAAAAGAGGACAAGAGTCCCGCGCAGACAGCAGCTTACATGGAACACGCGTGTTGTTTGCAGACTGAAACTAAACACTTTGCACACGCGGGGAGGTGAGAGGAGGAAGTGGGATTTTGGTTGAATCTAGTCTTTCTCTGCACACACGTCAGCGTCTGGCTGCTGAGATGGATCCAGAAATACGCTTTAGCCTCACATTTAACCTTATAATAATATTAATCCAAGGATGTCGAGCAGCAGGATGTTTTAAACAACACAATCAGGGCCGGAGATGGCCTTTTAGGCTGCTGCTCATAGACTTGGTCAGAAGAATGGTAATGTAAGAACATCCATAGATGAAGCTAGGGTTTGGCCTGTAGGTTTCCAAGTTCATAAGAAACTAAATATAAAAACAAATGGGAAGCATCAGTTTGAACTGATTGTTGATACTTGGTTAAATAGTCGGTGCAGGAACAATAAGAATAAGGTCATATTGGAGGAGAAAAGCTCTAAAGTGAAAATGAAACCGAACAAAACCACAAGCTGCTGGTTAGAAGCTGATATTTGAGTTCTTCTTGGAACATAAACCACAAACAACATTTCTGTGAGAGTGGAAACCATTACAGAAACATTCCTAACATCTAAGAACTTTATTAAAATGTTTTTAGATGGACTCCACATCACACTGCCCTTCGTTGTAGATTTTATTCTCATCAGAGGTTTAAAGAGCAAGTCACCCCCTAGCCGGGTTTTACGCCAAAATTCCACTACCTCCGCTCCGCCCCGCTCCGGCACGAACTCCGCAGCAAAATTGGTCCCGTTGTAGTGAATCAGAGCTGTTCCACTACTGCGCAGTGCGCCGCCCGCCGTTCCGCCATCCGGCAAAAATAGGATCGATTCTATTTTTGCCGGACGTCGGAGCACCTCCGCAGTCAATGGACAGAAATCACAACCGCCCAACAGTCGTCCGAGAAAATCTGATAGATGAAACGTTTTATCCTTCAAACTCTAAAACAAGAAAAAAATTTGAAATTTATTTATTTAAAGGATAACCCCCTGAGATGCAACATCTCGTTTTCAAGGGGGTCCTGATAAAAAAAAAGAAAAAGCATAATAATGACGATACAGACAATAAACTTCAGGTTACAATACACAACACATAAAATCATGTCACGGTAACCAGTGTAGCGGTAAACCCCGGTAAAAAAGTTGACAATAATAATAACCGTCTTGTTTTTAAAAAAAAATTATCTCGGTGGAATACCGTGGCTGCGGTGTAGGCGCGGTGACCCTTACCAGCCACCGTATCATCTGCTGAAGTTGCCGGCGGCACATGCGCACTTTGCTGTTTACAACCAAAACTTTCTTGAAGCTAAAGCTGAAATAATGGCCAAAGGAGGAGACGGCAGCGCTCAGGACATTTATTATCCCTCAAAGAAGACAAAGTGGGAAGTACGGGCATCTTTTGGATATCTGAAGAATGCCGAGGGACAGCTGATAGAAGACGGCTATCCTGTTTGCAGCACGAGCAGAAAAAGTGTCTGTGAAAGGCAGCAACGCTTCAAATCTCATGACACATCTGCGTGACTATCACCCACATCTCTACAGTCAACGCAAGGCAAGCTAACGTTAGCGTTTTAGCTAAAATGCGTGATCCGAGGATTTGGGTTGAGGGAGAATGCAACGAGTCGCTATATAAAGCAGCCGCAGCGCCGCTACCTGCATATAAACCGTGTCGCGGACACCGCCATGTTGAAATGACGCTATGCATTACGGGGCTCCCAGGGGCAGATAAGAGTTGGTCTCTCTCCGAGAATAATTATGAATTTAACAACGATTACTGCCTGATGACATTTTCCCACATCTACAAAGCTCACTGGAAGGACACAAACCGAGGACGATATTTTCCTGATATAGGGTTTATTACTCAAGTAAGGGTAAAAAAGTATCTGATTAGAAGTATACTTGAGTACCGAGTATCATCTGGTCTAATATTTTTAAACTGATGACATCAAACAGACAAAAAATAAGAAGTTATGGGCAAATATTGGTATTTTAAAGACTAAAGGGGAAAAATGTAAACAAATAAACAACATAATTACAAAATAACACATTTTAGGCTAAATTTAGACACAAACTGAGGACAATATTTCCTGATATACAGGGTTTATGTAGTTGTTTGAAAATGTAACACGTTTAAAAAAATACCACAATAATACTGAAATCGCTTGTAGTTTATCCATTTTAGTATCAAAATGAGCGAGCAGCTCCTCTTTCAGTTCTTTTATGGCTTCAGCAAAGGACTTAGGAGCCATTGTGGCGCTCACACAACAAGGCAGAGCACGCTCTTAGTTGTCGTTTGTTGTGTCAGTTTTGTAAGAAAATTTTTTTTCTCTTGTTGAAAAAAAAATAGTAAAGAGGTCACAGCATTTAGTCCAAAAATATGAGAACAATTTAAAGAAAGAAATTTAAAGAAAATTGGGAAAATCCATACATATTGCAGAGTTGAGCTTCAGCAAACACTCACACTGTTGTCTGAGCGGCCATCTTGGTGCAGCAAAAAGGTCTGGAGTCGACGTTTGTGTTCGGACCTGAGCTGTTTTTGAGCATCGGATGAAAAAGTCAAAGAAGTAAAATAAAAATAAGCTCTTTTGAGAAATTTACTGATTTTTTTTAAGTAGGCGTTCACGCTCCGGTCCCGCCCCTCCGTCATAGTTGGACCTCATCTTCTCACTGTAACTTAAATTAGCCTCTTCAAAATAATAAAATTTGTTTTTCATCACAAAACTGAGGCTTATCACATCATGTTTTTCCAATTCTTATTATTATAGAATTTCAACTGATTCCTACAGGACAATTCCTTGTTTTCATCCAGGTTTTCCGAACCCACGACCCGTTACGAACTCCACATTCTTATCCCGAGTGGCGTGGTCACAAGTTGCAGTGAGTCAAAATCCTTTCATGCACTTTTCATTTGCACATTTGTTCTAAAGGTTTGCAAAAACATCTTCGGAACGTTCGTTCTCATCGTCTGGCGGGCAGATATCCACTGATGTCTAATCTACAAAAGCTAGTTCAGGAAGTTCTACTGAATGTTCTGCATTCATGGAGCTCACAGACAGAACATTGATTTATACGCGATAAAGATGTGAATGAGGCACCGTGTAGCTCTGCGACTCCCCTCAGCAGGTTGCTGCTGCTAAAGCTAATCACTGAGCTGTAGAGGAGACGCTTTATGATTACCTGGATCCATGACGACAGGCTGGCAGTGGTTGACAGGAGTCGCCTCGGCCGGATGGGATGGAGCCAACCTGCAGAAAAGACACCCGTCAATCCAGGTCGGAAAACCAATGAAATTATCCAACTGGACTAATCAAACAGCAAAGAAAGCCATTGAACCCAATGTTGGCTCAA